TTATTACATTTTAGCCACATTAGCAGCTAACTACTGTAGTAACAGCAACGTCTGTCAGTCCTCCACCGTGGTTTAGAGAGAAACTACTGCATGGATTATTATGACATTTAGTACAGACATTCATGTTCCTCACAGGATCATCAATGTGATGATTCTCTTGTGTTTCTTCCAGCTGTACCATCAGGTCAAAATTTTAATTTGTCCATTACTTTGGTTTTATACCAAATACCTGCCAAATTAATTGGCAACTATTTTGAAAGTAGATGAATCAGTTTGAGTAATTTTGTAAGAAAAAAAAAATCTGTAATTTCAGCTTCATAAATGTCAATATTATGTTTATTTACTCCTTTATTATAGTAAACTGATTTTTTATTTTATTTTATTTTATTTTTTAAATTTAAAGCCTTTAATCGTGCAAACAGACCAACAATTTAAGTGGACAAAGACATCAGGAAAAAGATATATTGAAATGAATGTGTACTGTGTCAGAACATAATTTCAAATCTAATAGATAATAATACCAAAGATGGGAGTTTCCATAGTCAGGATCAACATTTTTCACAGTTTTCTGATGATTTATAGCCTGAGCAACTAATCAGTTAATTGAGAAAATAATGGACAAATTAATCGACAATGAAAACAACCATTAACTGCAGCCATTGTCTTTGTGAACATGCTTGAGTGACAACAATCCTTTACACTGACGTCCCCATAACTGCTAAAGATTATAGATTCTGAGGTTCTTGTCCGTCTGCTAGCTTTACATTTGTTTAGACGCTCTCTGTAGGTAGCGGCCGTGGCACAGGTGAGGTCACTAATAAGTTTCACTGACATCAGTTTTGCACAGTGAGCTCTCAGTGGAGGACAGATGAACTTTGCATGTAAACAGAAATAGGTCATTTCTGTGTTAGAACCGGGAAACAATCTTTGAAACTGTACAGCTGCTGTTTTTCTTGCTCATTAATTGTAAAATTATAAATAATCAGACTATGCTGTAGTACTGAACTCTCACAGTATGTTTATGTTAATGAAGTCGCAATCAGTGACACATCCAGACCTGTGATATTTCACATAATTCATGTTGCTGGAGAAGGCTTGTAAGCAGTGTCTCATGTGACTATTTTGAGGTAGCATTTCCAACAGCGCTGGCACTGCATTGTGTAAAAGCCACACTCTCCTTGAGGACTTTTTTTTTCCTCCCTTCGCTGTGATAAAATGTGCTGTGATGCTTCCCACGCCCTCGCGGGTGTTTGTGTATCGCTGCATTTCATGTTTCTGTGTTGCAGCTGAAACATGAACGTGTTGATCTTTGTGTTTGATGTATAGACGAATCGCTGGCTGTAGGAAAAAAAACCTGTGGCAGGTTGACTGAACACGTGCGGGTGGTGTGGAAAAGCAGCGCTGTCTTGAGGTGTGAAAGTAGGCCCATGATGTTATAATCACATCAGAGCCGGAGAGGGAGCAGGTGGAAGTGCTGCTTCGCTCACACGCTCAGTTTCTGTAAACATGCTTGCAATCAGTTTCTGTGTGTTTTCCTGCGTCTCTATCAGGCTCCCTGTTTCCACCCTCCACCTACATGCAACATGTCCTTTCCCTGCATGGATGTGTTCAGTATTTGTGGACTGTGGAGGACGACACACCCATCTGAGATCTGAGCATGCAAACACTTTCCAATCTCTTGTTCTTTCTGTCTGGCTCCATCTTTTGCTTCTCAGAGACACAGTTAACCCTGAGGAGACAGCTGTCCCTCACAGAGAAGACGCTGTCAGAATAGAAGAGACTGCTGGGGGACAATAGCGACTTTTATTGCCGTCAGCAACTTCTTCCTCTGTAGGCAAGAAACAGTCACATTATCTAAATATAGTGATGGAGAGTAGCTTCTCACTCAAGAACTTTTCTCAAACACTGAGGACTTATTTACTTTAGTGTCCCCGTGTTATGTATTTTGAAGTAAAGTTTAGTTTTATTCTACTCATTGTTCATGTTCGCAGTTAATTTAAAATGGCATTTTTTTTAAATTTATTTTTTTTAGATGAGTCTGCTTAACGGTGTAAAACATCAGTTATAGATGAACGACTTCAAAAGCATGTTGTCTTTAAAAAAATAGTTGCCCAAATAACACCATTTATCAGAGCTAGATACAGAATAATACAGAAAGAATTGTAGGGTTTTTAACATCCTGACAGCCTTTCGACAATCCTTACCTGTGACCTCCCATTCGGTTAGGAAACTTCACCAAAATCTACAAGTAAAATGCTGATGCTTCATTAACATCACTTTATAACTAATTTCTCCCAAAAATAAGTCATTTATTCTTTTTTTTTTTTGAGCTTTATTTTTATTATTGAGAAACACAGTACAAACATTCCTTGACAACATCACAAAGCATATATGACAGTGGTAAAGACAAAATGAGCAGCTCATCATCAAGCGCTGCAAGCCTGATAACGATCCCGATCATTTGAATCGGGTGTGTTGGAAGAGAGAAACATCTAAAACATGCAGGATTGTGGCCCTCGAGAACCAGGATTGCTCACCCCTGCAATAGACGGTTATGGAGCTACAGTACAATATGAATTATTAGTGCAACAGAGTGAATTATTGTCAACATATAAGAAGAATATGATGTTGGTAGACAACAGAGGGCTCAAACACGATTCAAATGTCGTCTAAATACTTCAATTTCTACTATATATATCTTTGTATCATAAAATAACACTCTAAAGTGGAGTGTTTACTCAGCGTTTCTAAAGTAAAGTATTTGAATTCATCTCCCAGCATTGCCTGACTATGAAAATATCTCCAGAGCAGCCTGAGATCAATTCTTTATCACTGAAACTGGCCTCCTGGCGAGCTTGTGGACAGAACAGAGCAGACAGAGGCACACCTTTATCACGTGAAAGCTTTTTCTGTGCGTGTGCGTGTGTGTGTGCAGGAGTGCATGTGTGTGTAAACAAAGACGCTGTTGTGTGTGTCGCCTTGTTTCACCACCCTTTGCATACACCTGTAGATAAGTGAGAGAGAGACGGAGCGCAACCCCCACCTGGCTCCCAGCGAACTGTGTACACTCCAAATATTTCCATAGCCAGGCCTCTCACGGAAATGAAGGAGGAAGTCGTACACGGGAGAGAAACAGAGACACACAGAGACAGAGATGAGGTGAAAGTCGCACATAAACAAGGTCATGGCTGTACAGAAACTGTACTTCTGGAGCGGAGCTCACAGTCGCTCTGTCTAGCAGAAATCTGAACAGCACACAGGTCCGACCACACCTGCACTGCAAACATGGCTCTGTCATTGAACTTGTTTTTTACTGTGAAACAGTTTTAGTTTTGAGCTTTTTTTCCTTCCTGATTAATGCATACGAATGTCCTTCTGCATATAAAAACTGAGCATCTTTCTAAAAATCCTCAATTTTGTCATACAATTTGAAAAAAAAAGACCTTTTAGAATAATCGACAGCATGATTTCCTTATCTCTCCTGTTCAATTCTGATGTTTGTATTAGGGCTGTGACCAATTAATACTTTTGTTATCAATAATTTGCTTATTATTTTCTCTATTAACTGCTCAGTGGTAGAAGCATTTGCGTGAAAGTACTCCACGACAAGGAAAAGTCCAACATTTAAAACATTATTTAAGTAAAAACGAGTAAGGATTATGTGCAAAATCTTCTTGAAGTAAAATTATATATTAGGTTTTTGGGTTAATATTACTGCTGCCTAATGTATAGTTTGCATTTTGGTGCAGTAGATGTGTAAAGTTGTACTAATTTGAACTATTTTACATGATGAGAGGTCATTTTAATGCATCATATTCTAAAACATCATCATGTTTGTTGGGTTTTTGTCCTGTGAACTGCGTACAGTACATTCAAAATCTTGCATAGTCAGATCATTCTGCAGCACAAAATGTACTCAGTGCAACACATTATCCTTTGCTCTTGGAAAGTCATACATGCTCTGGCATGTTTGTATTTCTTTACCAAAAAAATCCCAATTGTGCTGGGCAGAGCTAAGCCCAGGATGCAGCAATGGTGTCCCCTCAAAATAGTGACACTGGAATTGTTTTGTTGCTGCATTTGTACACAGGAAGATCAGCACTGTCATTAAAATGGATAATTTAAAGAAAAAAACTTGCCAGGCTGGGTTAGTGCACGACATAAATCCTTAACCAATCTTGATATTTTGTGGTAGGTTTGCTGCTTGGAGGTTGTTGTTTGGTTGTTGTTTTCCGTAGCGAAGAGGATTTTAAGATCAGTAAAATGTAGAAAGCTGAAGCGGAGACGAAATCCATGTCAAGTGTGTGGCCACTGACAGGATGATACCTGCAGTTGATGTCTGAGATGTCGTGGAATAGAAGTAGGAAGTTGCACAAATTTTAAATAAATCAAACGATGTACAAATAATTTAGATTTGTAATGAAGTGCAGTACTTGGGTAAATAGATTTAGTTACAGTCCACCATGAGTACTGATTAATCGTTGGTTCCAAACAGGGAAAACTATCCACCAGAATTCCTCAAAGCTCCATTTGATATTATCAAATTGTTTGTTTTGTTTGACCAAAAGTCCAAAACCTGAAGAAATTCAACGTAACAATATAAAGAACTTAGCAAAGGAGCAAATAATCACCTTTAAGAAAATAAAAATAAAACGAGTAGTTCATAGGAAGAATACTAATTGTTTCAGTTCTGGTTTGTATGATGTGCATTCACTTCTACATTCTCAAAACAGGATTTATTCTGTAATTATTCATGGCTCCAGATCTCAGTTTTCTGTCTGTGCTTCTTCTTTTTCTCTCTCCTATTTTCTTTTCTTTGATGTCTCGTCAGAGAGCATTTACATATTTAAAAGTCTCAAAAGCAGTTTTCCAGTGTATTTGTAATTGTGTGTTTCTGTCTGATACCTACTGTGTGTTTCACAGTATTGCCTTTTAACACAAACTGTTCTCTTTCTCTGTTTGCTCTCCATCCTCTTCCTCCTCGTCTTCTTCAGTCCTCATCCTGCAGCCTGTGGAACGGGACGACCTGTGCGGGAAAACCCTGAAGATCACCGACTTTGGTCTGGCCAGAGAGTGGCACCAGACCACCAAGATGAGCGCTGCAGGGACGTACGCCTGGATGGCCCCGGAGGTCATCAAGCTGTCGCTCTTCTCCAAGAGCAGCGACGTGTGGAGGTACAGCACTGAGTGCTACCTGATTTATGCAGACAGAAACCTCTCTACATGTAGGTTGTTAGGAGTGAATCTGTCTGCAGCTGAGATTTCCTAGATTCATGATTGTAAAGGTTGTTGGTAGATCACTCATCACCATCAAGGAGGTGTGCTTATTGCCCCAAATTCCTTCTGCAGCAGACGACAAACTTACAGCCACATCATGGTGTCAATCTATGGTCACATAAAGAGACAGAAGACACTGAGAAGTTCTTTGAGATGCTTTAACAACCTACCTGACAAGTACTTTAAACTAGCATTATGTTACGATTGCTACGTAAATGACACAAATGCTTTAAAATAATTTAAGGCAGAAAAGAACATCAATGAGCAGTGAAGGGTTTAAATCTAGAAAATTCAGGATTAGAATATATATTTATGTTCACAGAGATCAAACTTATTGAAAAAATGTCGGCTCCTGCACATGTATCATGTCTACATTGATTTATTAAAGGAGTCGACATGTCGGTCACAATGAGCTTCATCAAGCAGGTGATAAATGTGTGTAGGATTGTTATCAGTATGCTGGATGCTTTGAGAACTGGATTCTCTGCGCTGCAGAGGAGAAGGAAGTGGTGTTCGTGTTGCTTTCTACTCATATATGATACAAAGACTGGCCACAACTTTAAAACCATCCACTTAATATCACGTTAGGCCCCTTGTGCCACCAAAATAGTCCTGACCCATCGAGGCCTGGACTCCAAAAACCTCCGAAGGTGTCCTGTGGTATCGGGCACCAAGATGTTGGCATCAGATCCTTTAAGTCCTGTTTGTGAGGTAGGGCCTCCATGACTTGGTTTTCCAGCACATCCCATAGACACTGTATCAGATTAAGAACTAGACAATGTTGAGGCCAAATCAACACCTTGACATCAAACCATCCCAGAACAATGTTTGCACTGTGGCAGGAAGCATTAACCTTCTGAAAGAGGCCACTGCAATCAGGGAACACTCTGACTATGAAGGTCTGCAACAGTCTTTAGCAAGATGGTACGTGTCAAAGAGTATCACACTGTCTTTGTCGACTTCTTTCCATCATACATCAGGCTGCCATCCCTTCCCCAGGCAAACAGCTCACATGTACCTGACTCCACAGTCCAGCTCTGACGCTCACATGCCTATTTTAGGTGCTTTGGGCAGATGACAGGGGTCAGCATGGGTCCTCTGACAGGTCTGCTGCCTCACAGGGTGATGCTTTGTGTGTTCTGACATCTTTGTATCGTAGCCAGCATTGAGTTTTTCAGCAATTTCTGCTACAGCAACCTTTGTGGCATCAGACCACATGGGCCAACATCATTTCTCACGTGCATCAGTGAGCCTTCAGGCACCCGTGACCCTATCGGTGGTTCACCAGTTGTCCTTGTTTGGACCACTTTCTGTAGGTACAAACCACTGCATACCAGGAAGGCTTGTCATTTTGGAAATGCTCTAAGCCATTCATCTAACTATCACAGTATGGTCGTTGTCAAAGCTCCTCAGATCCTCTCGCTGCTCATTTTTCCTGTTTCCAACTCATCAACTTCAAGAAGCGACTGCTCACTTGCTGCCCAATATGTCCTTGACAGGTGCCACTGCATCGAGTTAATCAATGTGATTCACTTCTCCTGTCAGTGGTTTTGATGTTGTGGCCGACCAGATGTATAAATATCCAGAGATCACACCTGCAAACAGGGTTACATCAGAAAAACAAAGTAAAGATGCAACAAAAAATACAAAAGATGTTTAATTTGTTTACTTCCTGTCTGCAAATGAGTCACTCGATGTTGACAATGTTTGATTAAAAAAACATCTCAGTGCAATGTTCACTTACTGGCATGTTCACAACTAAAGCTTGTAATGTTTATCAGGAAACAGCTCAGTTATAATGAAGATGAGTCAACCTCTATTACATGACGTAAGCCTGAATGTGTGATCGCTAATAACAGGTGGCTAAATGTAGGTGGAGATTGTGACCCCCTGTGTTTTTTCAGAGGTGATATTTTGCGGTGGATGTGAGTCAAAAACATAAAACCAAAAAATGCTTTAACAGTGTTTTCTCCTTTCTGTCTTCTCTGCTCACAGTTTTGGTGTGTTGCTCTGGGAGCTGCTGACCGGAGAGGTTCCTTACCGGGAGATCGACGCGCTGGCGGTAGCTTATGGTGTCGCCATGAACAAGCTGACGCTTCCCATCCCTTCAACCTGCCCTGAACCTTTTGCTCAACTACTGGGAGGTAAGGAGGCGACTGCCTGGACACTTGGTGATAGTTAGATCCCAAGAGGCTGAGTTAGTGCTTCTGTTGCCAGAACTAATGAGAGTAACACTGACTGTTTTGTGATTGGTGCGACTTCCTTTCACTTGTGTCTCTGTAGTAAACTTTCAGGATCTTCATTTGTGTTTGTTTCTTCTTTTTTTTTTTGTCCCATTATATTGTGCTTCAATCATCAAATACAACTTTAACCCTCTGAACAACCCAAAACCCATCAGCAGGTTTGAAAGGCATGTTGTCTTTTTAAAAAAATCACTAAAATGACACAATTTATCAGATGCAGCAACTGTCAAAACAGAAAAAAATGTCAGACTTTCACTTTTCTTTAACTATTCATGTGTGATTAATGGATCAGTCAGGAAAAGTAAATAATAATAAATATAAGCTTAAAATCATGATATTTCAACAAAACCACTTTACTCTACATGTCTGATTTAGAAATTTGCCAAAAATTAGCCATTCGCTCGAACCAGATTCTGTAAAAAATAAAAAATGTTCTCCTCTTTGTCCGAACCGAGACAACATTAGTGATTAATCTTGGTCTAACAGTCATATTACAAAAATTGAGTAAAAGTGAGTAAAAAATATGACAGGAGCAAAAATGACTTGGGACTCAGGGGGTTAAACATGTTGTAGATGATACCCACATTCCAAACACTCCATGCCGTTGTTCACATCCACTGACTTTAAGATGACGTAACCTTTCTTGAATTTTTGAGGTTACAGTGGCTTATTTTAAACCCTTTTTTTTTTCTTTTTAATTCTGCATCTGGGAGCTAAAAAGTGCACAAAGAGTTAAAACGGATGAAGACCGTCTGAACCGTTTCATTAAGTTGCTTTTTATACATCCTCCCGCCTGAGCTCCCCTGGGCCACATTTCTCCTTTTCACCTTGCAAATAATCTACGTTAACAGTGGCAGAGTATTAACCGGCTCTTGTTTCACAGTTCAGGTCATCTCTGTTTGAACACACACTTACCTTATATCCAAATTGCCCTCATGTGCTTATTCCCAAGCTACTTTTTTTTTTTTGTGGATGGGTAAGCTGCAGACCAGGGTTTACGTCTAATACAAAAAAAAAAAAAGAGAGCGCGAAAAAGATAGAGCTGTTACTCAAACTGTCATCCCAGCAGCAAACTTCCCTCCACCTCCCTCCCTCTCTGCTCCTAAAGCTCTTTTCCTCCTCATCCCCCCCCTCTCACTCCACTTCATCTTATCCATGTTCATCCGTTAATCTCCCCTTTGTCATCCCTCACTGCTCTCTACACTCTGTTTACTCCTGTCATCAGCTCACTTTCATCTCCTCTCCCTCCAACTTTATTCACACACATTTCATGGTAATTTAGTTCGGCTAATAAACAAATGGTACCTGCGAGAAGCTGCGTTTTTGTGCTAGACCTGCTTTGTCGGTACTTCTCTCTCTCTCTCTCTTTTTTTTTTTTTTTACGCCGAATTGTGTCAGAGTTTTAGGAGACGGCTGTGTTGTGGTTTAGTGTTGGACAGACAGCGTTGATCAGTTTGTGGCTCAGCAGATTATTGTAGGTGTGCGGCATGTTTCTGCAACACTGTCAGCCAGGGTTTGGCTCACGATGGTCGCCATATGCTGTCCCATCTTGCTCTCTTCCACTTCTCCTGTTGCTGCCTCTACTGCCAGAAATTAAAAAAAAAAAAAAAAGAAAGAAAAATATATCCACACCGCGGTTCATGGTTTGGCCGTCTTTGTATTGTACTGATAATTCGACTGTTTCTAAACTTGATTCACTCATTTATGATATTAATGCAGATGGTGATATTTTGCTTTTGTTGTCAAACCAAAACTGCATTTATTTTACAATCAATTACTACCTGTATAATTTAGGCTTAATATAATTGGTTTCTTTGTGCAGAGCGCTATTGTTGTCCAAAATAACAAGCCGCAGTGTTGCATTACAGTTAACACATAGATTCATCCTGCTGCTGCAAATTCTCACTCAAGCATCAAATGTGTCTTAATCCTCAGCCCAAAATAGTCCCTAACAAAAGCGCTGTTTGCTCATGTTTGAGTCATGTGTGGTAGAAGCTGGGGATGCATGTTGTTGGATTTCTGCTGATATCTGATATGCTGATATTTTCATTTTAAGCCGATCGTCATGGCTGATATATGCACGTATTTTTTCCATTTGACAGAGAACATCAGGTGTCTCGTATAGTGGAGTTAACATATTATAACGTATATAACATGCAATACTTGTCAAATGTACTCAGTCACTAGGCAACATAAGAAAACTCCTGTAACTTGCATGCAAAATAAACCATAAATCTTATTATCGATCACATTCACAGTAAATTGTAAACTTTTTGCCTGACAGACATTATCTGCCTGTTCATTTTGGGCTGATGCTCATTTAAAGCCTTTATTGGCCAATACAGATGATGATGCCGATACCGTGCATCCCTTGCAAAAACAGCCCAACTGTTTCTAGAAATGACTGCACCTGAAAAACAAAAGGAACTATATTTTTCAGACTTAGACAAACAGAAAAGTCTTCTCCTTTTTCCACTAGTCCCTGCTGAAACGCTCTCTGTCTCCTAGGCAGAGTGTTGGAAACTAGCTCAGTCTGAACTGGTGTTTAGTGAATGAACACTTGAATGCATCATATTTCTCTTTCCTTATACTGTAAATTAAAACATAACTACAATTAGAGTAGTTCTTCCCATTTTGTTTGTTGCAGTCATACAAAAATACACAAAATACAAATAGAGAGGTGTATTGTTACAGTTAATTTACAGATTTTTGATGACATCTTTTGTTATAGAGGTTGAATGAACTTTTTGTAAGGACAAGAGGAGCTTCTGCTCAGTGAGTGTAATGTACAGTAATGACCTCCACAACACAAATGTACAATAGTAATGCATTTTATCTTACATGTTTGCTTGTAATTGTACATGTACTGCTGTGTAACATCTGATTGAAGCTCTAAAATACATAAAACACAGCACTAACACCACTAACAGTTTGTTATTCGGTCACTTGAACCCCTGTCCCTCTGGTCTCTTGTCCCTCAGAGTGCTGGAGCCCAAACCCTCACGGCAGGCCCCCCTTCACCAACATCCTGAGGCGACTGCTTGCCATCGAGCAGTCGGCCATGTTTCAGATGCCTCTGGAGTCTTTTCACTCCTTACAAGAAGACTGGAGGCTGGAGATCCAGCAGATGTTTGACGAGCTCAGGGCCAAAGAGAAGGTAAGAAATGTGTAAACACAAATCCAGTCAGGTCATAACTCTTTCACCTGGAAAGACACAATAAAACAGCCCTCGTATAAAATGGATTACGTCGACTGCATTGTGTGTGGATGCTCATAAGGGGCTCAGCAATCTGCTATTATATTCTGACTTTAACCCTCTGAGCTCTAAGTAGTTTCTAGGTGTGTGTTGCTCCTTTCGCTGTCGGCTCATTTTTTACTGTAATATAAAATCCAACACCTCTATGGAAACAGCACAAACATGGCTAGAAATAGAGACCACTCAAACATCTCTTTTGGTCAGTCTCACAAAGATATAATGTCATTAAAAAAACAAACAAACAAACAAACAAACAAAAAAACTAGAAAGTTAATTTTTCTTGATTATTTATTTTGCCAATTTAGAAAAAAAATAAAACAAAACAAAACAAAAATTTTCCAAGTGCCCATAGGTGTTACCAATACTGGGAAAAACACACTGTAGATATTTTACTACTTATATTTTTTAATTTGATTCCATGTTGACTCTGATCTGCTCTGTGCACACACCACCCAAAGGTCAGCCGAGAAATACCAGAAGTTTTTCAATGTAACTGCTGGCTGCAGTTAGGTCACTCATAGCTTGTCAGCTGTGCCAAAGAGCATAGAATTTTTAGTTTTTTACAGAGTCTGGTTAGAGCAAACAGATTTTTGGGGTGAATTTTCAAATTAGTTCTGTAGAATAAGGTGATTCTAATGAATAACTTAGATTTCATCAGTTTTCTGGACAGAACTGCATGTCACAGGTGAGTAGTTCGTGAAAGAAAGCTGACAATCCAATATTCTTTCTATTTTTGCGGTTTCTGGCTCCGATAAATGTTCTAATTTTGGTTATTTTTAACAGAAAACATACTCAGCTTGCCAACAGGTTTTGAGATTCTTAGGGTGAATATTGCGATATCAGAGAAATTCAGTTTTTCCAAATTGACAACAGCCTTTGAAGATTGTAGATAATACAACGCCATTAAAGAAACTGTCAGTATATTTAACTGAGCAGGTATGTGTGAGGATTATTTTCTCCTTTTCTGCCTTTCATTAGACTTTATTTATTCAAGCAGAACCGTGCTTGCAGGTGAAAAAGCCACATTTCATACTGAGGTGGGAGGAATCTCACCATGTCATGTCTGTCAGAGGTGTTTCTGCAAATTAGTATTACCTTAGCAACGGGCCTAATGCCAAGCAAGGTGTCAAAAGAGGTGCTGCTATGCCTGTAACCTCTCCTCCTCTTCCTCCTCTTCTTCCTCGCCTCTCTGCAGGAGCTGAGATCATGGGAGGAGGCGTTGGCTCGAGCCGCCGAGGAGCAGAGGGAGCAGGAGGAGCAGCTGAGGAGGAGGGAGCAGGAGCTGGCCGAGAGGGAGATCGACATCGTGGAGCGAGAGCTGAACATCATCATCCACCAGATGTACCAGGAGAAGCCCAGCGTCAAGAAGAGGAAGGGCCACTTCAAGAAGAGCAGGCTACTGAAGCTGGGCAGAGACAGCAACTGCATCAGTCTGCCCTCTGGTGGGTGGAAGGAGGAGCTGCAGCAGTCTGAGGGTTTTGTTTTGATGAATCAGGTGCACAGAGCTGGCAGAGCTCCCAGTTTGATGCCACTTACTGTTACATTGGGGCTTTTCCAGGTTGGAAATGTAGGACACAGACTGTTCCAAAAGACTGGACGACACTATCAATGTTCATGTAGAGTGTAAAGCCAGAGAGCTCTTTGATTTTATAGAGAGTTAGTTTGAGAGGATAACGATTAACTTAACTTTAAGTGATTTCTTTGAATCATCAGCATTTCAGTCTTGGTGACTTTTTAAATGGTAGCGACCTAATGTATAGTTGCCTTTCTTCTAATTGTGTCACTACCGTGGCAAGCATCAGATTTTTATTGTACATTCAACAGCCAGCCTATTTATTCTATTTGCACCTTTGTCAAGGCACTGTTGCTGGTTAGTAGCTGTAACCTGCAAATTTGGGATAGTTTTAATCAATAAATGCCTAAATTAACATGAACTGACTGTCAAAATTAGAAAATATTTTACTTTCTGCCCATCAGCAAATAGATTAAAGGACTAATTGTCCAAAACTAGAGCAGGACCAAGGAAATCCACATTACATGTGCTGTTGGTGATTGTATTATATCTCAGTTTTCATGCATGACATGTTTGAGGAAACTTGCATGACTTGTGTTTTTAAGAACTGTCAGCCTTCATTAGAAAGTGAGAGTCAATTTTGGTTGTTGTCCTTTTGGAAATTCAAATAAATTCACCAGAAAGGAAAAGATTTGGCAACTACAGACAATCATTTTACAACAAAGTGCTCCGTAACATCACCAACAATCAAATCAACAACATACAAAGAAGAGACACCTTATTTTACCTGGATTTGCTTTACAGAGTGATACTAGAGGATTTAAAGGATCTCGAAGTATTATAGGAAGTCCACAGAGGCAATAGTTCCATCCTCATTATAACAACTCGTATTCACCAAAGAGAGGCTGTGGTGCATCACAGAGGATTTCCAGCCATTGTCACACTCACAAAGACTTACAAAGCAGTGCAGTTTTGTGTTATTATTGACTTGCAATCTTGCCACACATTTAAACAGTCTTATTACATTTGTTCTAAGTAACTACAGATAAAAATACCAAGCAACAAAGCATAACGTTGGAATACTCTCCACAAATGATTTGTATTTAAGCTCACAATTTAAAGTTAATCTTTGGTATATTTCTGTCTTTGCAGGCTTTGAGCATAAGATCACGGTGCAGGCGTCACCCAGCGTGGACAAGAGGAAGACCCAGGGGAGCGAGAGCACCACCCCTCCCGCCAGCCCGGGGGTCATACCCCGACTGAGAGCCATTAGACGTGAGCGCAAACACACATTATTTAGGTGAGGATAAATATAGCAGACATGTAGTTTTATGAATGTTTGCTCTGTCCCTCAGTGACACCGAGCGACGGCAGCAAGACGTGGGGCCGCAGTGCTGTGTGCAAGAAGGAGGATCTGACGGCCAACAAGAAGAAAGGACGAACCTGGGGCCCGAGCTCCACCCACCAGAGAGAGAGAGTCGGCGGGGAGGAAAAGTACGTAGACGCTCTGTTTAAATACAGTTGTGAATGTGTTAAATCGCAGCTTTGCTCAGGTAAAAGGATGCAACAAAAATATGTATGTATTTTTGGTTAAGCAAAATTATTTATTGCTTCAAAGAGCCAAAACGGCAAAGGAAAACAATGACCGACAAGACATAATACTGAAATAATATCAGCAACCGACTTTGCTCTTCTAGTCCAGATTTGACCAGTTTATATAAAGTAGCTTTAGATCT